CTAGCAGGTGGCCGGAATCGTAGCCACACGCCGGGTCATCGCTGTTTCTTGTTTAATTTAGATTTCCATTCATATCTCTTTTTTATAGCCAATTATAGTTAATCTTTTATTTGGGTTCGATAATGGAGAATTTGGGAAACGCGGTGACGGAAGAAGATTTGTAGAACATGGCGAAGGTGGTTGATTTTGACGGCAATGGGTTTATTGATTTAAACAAGATTATTGACTTGAACACGAATAGTGTTGATTCGGAAAAAAATGTAGAGAATCTGAGAAACGCGTCTATGATATTTAACGTAGATGCGAATGGGTCCATATCACTAGAAGAGTTGGAGGAGGTACTCAGAAGTCTGGGGGACGATAATTGTTTGATCGCAAACTATAAGAAGATCATTCGTGGGGTTGATTCCGATGGAGATGGGTTGGTAATTTTTAAAAGTTCAATAATATGATGATGGACACGCGCTCTCCGGGTTCGTCCTCTCCAATAACATCATCACTTCAAACATTATTGAGGACATCATCAATCCCGAACTCATAAATAATACTTTCTTAAGTTGCCAACAATCTAGGCGCGGGGTACCTTCCTCCCTTCCAACGTCTCGAGATCATGCGTCCCTTCACCGAGCACTTGTCATACTCTATAAGTACCTTCCCAAGTTGGTCCCAATTTACCTATGTCGGTCTCAAGCACCATAACTTTCTAAAGTCCAAGATTGTCAACTCGGAAAGAGCGTCTCTTGACTCGGGCATTATAATACCAGGCTACTAGCTTTTGGTAAACCGCAGTCCGGATATATGTAGGGGCTGTTATGATAAAGGTGAATAGGACTTCTTAATAAGATAGAATTTGTTATGTTAGGATAGAGTTTGAGATGGATTAAGAAAGACTACATAGAGTCCTACATAGAGTTTAAGAGTTTGAGTTTGAATAGATTTGATATCTGTTTCAATCTATAAATATGACGTAATTATAAGATTAATTAATGCAATCTTTCAAGCTTTCCTTCTCTGCTATCATGGTATGAGAGCCAAAGGTTTGAATCTAAAGGCCTCCAACCGTGCTTCCTGTGTCTCCAGCTGGTGGTCGGAACCGTAGTCAACCGTCGGGTCCTCGCTGCCTCTTGTTTAATTTAACTTTCCATTCATATGCCTTTTTTTTAACCAATTCTATTTTAGCTTTTACTTGGGTTGGATAATGCAGAACATGAGAAACCCGACGACGAAGAAGAATTGTAGAAGATGGCGAAGGTGATTGATTTGTACGGCATTGGGTTATTGATTAAAACATGTTAATTGAGTTGTACACGAATAAGGTTCATTCGGAAAAAGTTGTAGAGGATCCGAGACACGCGTCTATGATAGTTTACGTAGATGGAAATGGGTCCATATCACTAGAAGAGTTGGAGGACGTACTCAGAAGTCTGGGGGAAGATAAGTGTTTGATCGCATACTATAAGATAAGAGTTGGAGGACGTACTCATAAATAATACTATCTTATGTTGCCAACGTTTTAGGAGCGGGGTAACTACCTCCCTTCCAACGTCTCAAACTCGTGCGTCCCTTCTCCGAGCACTTGTCATACTTTATAAGGACCTTCTCAATTCGGTTCCAATTACCTAGATCGGTCTCAAGCACCATAATTTTCTAAAGTCCAAGATTGTCAAATCGAAAGTAGCGTATTTTGACTCTAGCATTATAATACCACACTATTAGCTTTTGGTAAGCCGCAGTCCGGATATATGTATGGGCTGTTATGATAAGGGTGATTAGCAGTTCTTAATAAGATAGAATTTCTTATGTTAGGGTAGAGTTTGACATGGATTAAGATACACTACTTCGATTCCTACATAGAGTCTAAGAGTTTGAGTTTGAATAAGTTTGATATCTGTTTCAATCTATAAATATGATGTAATTATAACATTAGTTAATGCAGTTTTTCAAACTTTCCTTGTCTTCTATCATGGTATGAGAGCCAAAGGTTTGAATCTAGAGGCCTCCCACCGTGCTTCCTATGTCTCCAGTTGGTGGTCGGAATCGTAGCCACTCGTCGGGACCCTGCAGCCTCTTGTTTAATTTAGCTTTCCATTCATATGCTTTTTTAGCCAATTCTATTTTAGCTTTTATTTGGGTTGGATATTGCAGAACATGCGAAACTCGGCGACGGAAGAAGAATTGTAGAATATGGCGAAGGTGATTGATTTGGACTGCTATGGGTTATTGATTTAAACATGTTTATTGACTTTAACACAAATTGGGTTCATTCGGAAAAGGATGTAGAGGATCCGAGACACACGCCTATGATATTTAACGTAAATCTGAACGGGTCCATATCACTAGAAGAGTTGGAGTAGGTACTCAGAAGTCTAGGGGACAATAAGTGTTTGATCACAAACTATAAGAATATCATTCGTGGGGTTGATTCCGATGGAGATGGGTTTGTAAATTTTGAAAAATTACAGAGTGTGATGAAGGACACG